GTTGTTAAACAAGATACATTCTGCCCCCGCTGTTGGCCGCCCTGCCTGTCCCGGGCGGGGGGGCGGAGCGGGCTGGCCCAGCCTCTGCGCTCCCCGGGCCGGCACAGCTGGGCAGTGCTGATTTTTCTGCAGCAGCTCGGAAACCTCCGGGCTCCCCATGCCACCCTCCGCCGGCACCATCCCCGCCCGGCATCGCCTCCGCCGCCCGCCCCGGGAAGGATGCTGCCTGCGGAGGCGGGGGCGCAGACCAGCGCGGGGTTGCTTCCCTCTGTGCAGTCTTTCTAATGAGGATGGGTTTATCCAAACCTGGCCCTGCTTCTCACGTGTTCCTCCCCTGTCTCCATCCATCCGCTAATTGCCATCAGCTGATCTCCCCAACCCAGTTTCCGTGCTCTGACGCACTCTGCCTCGCCATCCCGACACAGGACAGCCGAGCGCTGACAGCAGGCTGATTTACTCACCCGGGTTAAACGCCAACATAAGGATTTCGGGTGTTCCCCTTCAGGTTCCTCCCTCAGGAGCGAGGCTGCTCCGTGCTGGGTCATTTGCCACACCACGGGGCGGTTTGGCTGGGGCAGCTCACCCAGCACCAGAGCAGCACTTGCCAGAGGGCTGACACTGACGAAGGGCCACCACTCCTACCCACGGCTTAACTGCTCCTTTTACGCCTGCCTTCTCCCCAGGAGCAGGACAGGCAGCCCCGGCAGCCGGACGGCTGCTCCGAGCCACAGCCCTTGTGAGTTCAGTCCTCGAGACCTGAAAATTGCCCAGGCTCAGCAGAGGGGAGCTTCACCACACCACTGCGGCATCAGCCTCACTAAGGCAAAGGCTTGCTGACGAAACAGCCCAAAGATGAGCCGTACCAAACGAACACAAAAGCTGAAATCCACGTTTCTCGCCCCGGGGAGAGGCTGGGGACGCAGGCAGCTCCAGCAGTGCTGCCCTGCCCTTTGCTCCAAGCCAGCGGCCGGCAGAGGATGCACACGTTTGCACGGGGCTGAACTCATCCGCCCTGCTCCTGGGCTGGGCTGCTCCAGGCCTTCTGCTTCAGCACTGTTACACAACCACTGTTATGAAGAAAATTCAATTACAGAAGTTATTTTGAAGCACAAGTGCACCAGCGAGCATCAGAGAAACGCAAGCTGCGATGGTCCAGAGGTTACCGGCTGGCCCGGGGCGAGCGGACTGCCTCCCGGGGCGGGTTGCTGCTCTTTGCAGCAACTCGAGCAGAGGAATTTCCAGGAGATGAAAAGAAAAGCCAGAGCGGTTTCATAGAGTAAAATATCTTAATATTTATTGTGTTTCAGGACAAAAGAGTTCTACTCGATACACAAAACGAGTTAAAGCAGCATATAATACTGACAATCAAGTCACAGCTGACTCGGTGCAAGGACACCTACTAAGGTAAAGGCACCAGGAGCTACATCACCAAACCTTGCTACAGCTTACAAAGAATCACTACAGCCTGTACTTAAAAAAGTACAACTATAAAAAAGTATATAAAACCCAGGGCAGGGATGTGAGAGAGCTTGGCAACAAGCCGAGACCTTGCTGAGCCAAGGGCTTCAGGCAGGCAGGGCCATGTTTTAACGGGGCAACAGCCCCATCTCGAGAGCAACCGCGTCCAGAGAGCGAGGGGACGTCGAGGGGCTGCTGGAGATGAGGGGAAGCATCGTTTTGCCGACGGAGACACCGAAGACGAGCGCTGGGAGTCCCGCACGGCCGCCGGCATGGTCGGTTCGGCACGGCACTCGAGTGCGCCGTCAAGGAAAGAGCTGGGGCCTGCGGTGCCCTGGGGAGCGCGCTTGCTGTAACCACCGCAGCTACACTAATTATCCCACGCGGTGGCACAGCAGAGTAGTGTTAGGACAAGTCCCTGAGCGCACCAGGACAGCTGCTGCACTCGTTTCTATGAGCTAGTCGAGAAGAAGATCAGTCAGTTCAAAGCAAGATTTCACGAAGCGGCATCCAGAGAAAAACTGGAGGTGGCAGCATCCTCCCCGGCTGTGGAGAGCATGCCCTGCAATGCACAAGACAAAGCATTAACAGACAAGGCTGGATTTATACACAGCTTCAAATAATGTAGCAGACACGGTCTCGAGGGTGCCCTCTATCCACATGTGCCCCCGAAAGTGGTACCCGCTGCCGTGCCGGAGGTCCCCAGGGGGAACCAGGCAGCAGCCAGGGATGCAGAGGCAGCCCACCGAGCTTACAGCGCTGGACAGACATACCCAGCCACAGCCACAGCATGCCGGCGGCCAGCTACACCATCTCGTACTGATTGTTCGTGATGTACTGGGACAGGCAGCAGGCGAGAATGATGCCAACCAACTGAAAAAGAGAAAAAAAACCTCACACATCAGAGGTATCCCAAACCAGGATGTGGCACTTTAGAGGAAAAGCCTGACAAATTGCCCCAGAGCATCAGTTTTATAAAACCCAAAGATGAACAGCAGGATTTACAAACCACAACACGGGCTGCTGCGCCCTGCTTCGGAGTAACTGAGAGAGGGTGAAGCAAAGGATCCTGGCGGGCATCAGCCAAACAAGCTCCTCACAAGAGATGCTCCACGTCCCGTCCTCTTAGATTTTGCTTCATGAAGCAACTACTGTTTTATGGTAATTTCAGAGATTACACGGATATCAGGAGCGTCACAGCCAATTACACAGAGAACAGCAGCCACCTCTCCCTGTTGCAAGGACAGTGGGGAAGCAAGGTTGCTGGTTTTGCATCAGCATCTGAAGGACACGCTACTGTTATCACAACGTGGCCTCCCAGCCCCTGCGCAGACATTTAGGGCCAGATCCTGCAGGAGTTTGACCTACAACAGTGAAGTCAGAGGCACGTTTACATGATGGGTCCCTGCCAGCCGCACAACACAGCAAGGCTTGCTGAAAGAGCGATAAAAGCCAGGAACCGGTTACAATTCCCAAGCCTGGCATCAGCCGAGGTAATTTCGCGGCTGGGAGTGTGCAGCTCACCGTTTGTGTATCGGTCACGTCCCGGTGACCCCACAGCGAGCACAGCCCAACTGAGGAGGAGATTGGGGAGAGCAGCTGGGCACAGCAGAGCGGCTCCGGCTCTTGGGCTCTCCTGACTGCAACCGAAAGCACTTGGTAGCAGAAGCTGCAGCCAGGGGCTGCTGGCTCCCGCCTCTCCCCCAGTTCAGCACATCCATTACGGGAAACGCGTGGTGACACGCTCATTACAGGAGAAATATCTTGGTGGGGTTCCTTCTCCCCGTGCTGGTGCGGTCAGCTGGTGGTTCCGGGGGGCAGAGCCTTGAAGCTCATGCCACAGCCTTTGTGTGCCGGATCAAGGAGAGGGCGAATTCAAGCCCCTCCAAAGTCAAGGCCAGCTGAGCTCGCTCTGCAGCTGCTCAGTGCCAAGAGCCCAGCAAGCTTCCACAAACCAGCTAAAGAAGGGCCGGCTGCGCATCCTGCAGCTCCCACTGCAGTGCATCGGAAAACCCTCGGCACCTCGGGAAACCCCAGCGCGGCGTCAGCGTGCCCAACACCCAGCGTGCCGGAGCTGGGGGCTGGGGCCTCTCGCTTCCTGCCGGGATAAAGCCTGCCGGAGCAGGGGCCAGCGAGCGCGCCGCGGCTGCGGCTCCTGCAGGAAGCATCCTGCAGGATAAAATAAAGAAGAGGTTGGGGAGCGGGAGGGAGAGGAAGCAATTGCAGGGTAAGGCGGCGTACGGGGCGCAAGCCGCCAGCACAAGTGGTGCCCAACGGGCGCTCATGGGGACCCAGCCATGCAGAAGCAGCCCTGGGTTTAAGAGACTGGAGACAGCACAGTGGCGAGATTAAATCCAAGCGGAATCTGCAGAACAGCTGCTCCTCCATGGCTGAAACAGGCCGTGCCTTTTGTACACACACCAGACTTTGCAAGAAATTAAATACCTCCGGAGACACGCTAGCTTCACTCTGCACTCCTGTGCCGGCCAACAAGGGAGAGTTACCTGGAAGCACGCGATGCCAAAGGAAATTCCAGCCACAATGCTCATTTTTGACTCCATCGTTGACGTTACCAGGAAAAAACAACCCTGCAGAGGATGGAAAGCGAGCATGCGGGTCCAATGCTTTTCACCCCTCCGGCAGCTCCAGGGGAACATGCTCCCGCGCGGGCAGCCGAGGGCTTCTGGCTGCCACCCTCCTGCCTGACCTCGGGAAAGTCATTTCCCTATCAGCACTGCGCGGACCGCGGACCGCCTCCCAGCCCCGCCGTGTTATCAAGGGGAGCGCTGCCCGGAGCGTTGGGTTGCGCAAGGTGACTCATCAGGGGAACGTCCCTTGCATCACCGGGCCGTCCCTGCTGGATGAGGTCACCCGCCCTCACCGCTGGGTCAGGATTTTGCACGGCTGTCAAGAGACGTCAGCGCTGCCGAAACTAACTTTACCAGGAAATTATACCTCCTTATTCACCTGTTCTCCCAAACACACAGCCCTGAGCACAAACACTTGGGTCTAGCTAGTCCCTGACCTCCAAGGAAGGAGCGGGGGGAACCCCAGACATGAGGGAGGGCTCGTTCCTCCATGCCCTTCCCCTGCCTCCAACCCAGGGGAGTCTCCGGGCCACAGGGTGTCTGCATCGAGAGAGCAGTTCTCCTTTCGAGCCTCCCAGGGAAGGGCAAGCCCTTCTCCACCCACCCAGCTCTGCCCTCCCCACCTCTAGGACTGGCAGGGGGATTTTTCTGAACTTAACTTACATCCACAAACACTTTCAGCTTGGCTTTGCTCAGGTCTTTCAGATCCTCCTCCGAGCAGTCGTCCTGGCTCTTGCAGCAGCTCTGGGGGATGCCCCTCTGGGTGAAGTACTCGGTCCTCTCCCAGTCCGAGTAGTTCTGCACCCCACAGCAGTGCAGCTGGAGGGGGAAGCACGTTTGGGGAGCATGGCCACACCAGGGTACTGACCCCCAGTCCTACCACAACTCCCACAGCTCCCCTACCCTCACCTCTCTGGGAAATGCCCCCATCTCAGCCAGCATCTCCTCCCAAACTCAAAAGCCCATCGTGCAAAAGGGCCCCCAGCACCGCGACGGGGATGCCGATACCGCAGGGGGTCCCAGGGGACGCCCCGGGGCAAGGCGAGCGTACCCACCCGCCGCCGTCCAGACACCACCCCGGGGCACTCACGGTTCTCTGGATGGTGTCGACGGCCTCGCTGTGCCGATCCGCGGTCACGTTGTAGTCCCTCAAGGCCAGGTTGAGGTTACTCTCAAAGTTTGTCTTAATCTGCAAGAGAGAGGTCTCTGCAGCGGTGCCGTCCCCTCCCGTGCTTCGGGACCCGCGGCCCCGCATTAGTCACCTCTTGGCGACGGCAGGAATGACTCCGGCCGTGGCCAGCTGACATTCCCCTGGCCACCCAGGCAATTAAACGCTGTATTAAAGGGCAGGCTGGGATGTGCTGTGGCGGCAGGGATGCTGCGTGTAATAACAAGGACCTGTGTGGTGCCAACTCCCCCCAAGCAGGCTGCTCCGCGGCGCCGGAACCCTCAGAGGAGCTTTAATTACGGAAATTATTGCAGAAGATAGACCAAAGCCAGAAATTAAAGTCCAGGGCTACTTCGCCTGTTCTGGCAGAGGGGCAGTGTGCTGGGCAGACCCTGCACCCAGCCTCGTCCTTATGGGGACCTTATGGGTCCTCACGGGGACCAAGCTGCTCTTCGGGCCATTTTAACCCCATTTTAGCTAAACTACGCACCGCTCCCAGCAGCACCTCTGTCCCTCCAGAGACACCTGCAACTACACTCAGGTTAAAACCAGGATCAAACTCGCTCTGCAGCATCGGGAGACAGCAGCGGCCGCCCAGACTCACCTCATGCCTGAAGACGAACCCCACGACGGCAGCCACCAGGACGATGAGGAAGATGAGGGACAGGAGCATGGCGTACTGCGGGCAGAAAGGGCGGGATGGGACGGGTAGGATGGGATGGGGTAGGGTGGGATGAGATGGGGTAGGATGGGATGGGATGGATGGGACGGGACGGGGTTGGGATGGGACAGGGAAGGATGGGACATGTTGGGATGCGTCAGGAGAGGTCGGGATGGGTCAGGAGGGGACAGGACCCCGTCCCGCCCCGTCCAGGGCCACCCACCAGCTTGAGCATCCAGGTGCTGCCGCGGCAGGGGGCGAAGCAGCCGAAGGTGCCCAGGAGGACGACGACGGTGCCGGCGCCCACCAGGACGAAGGGGACGTTGGTGGCCTTCTCGTCCAGCAGGGAGAAGTAGACGGCCAGGCTCACCTTGCCCCAGACGCCCACGGCCAGCAGCACGATGCCCGACACCTGGGGAGAGGGGAAAGCCGCCGTGGCCCGCGGCCGGCGCGCCCGGGCGGCGCGGGCGCCGACAGTTGGGGGGG